GGGGCCGCCCATGCGCCATGCTCCTGGGGCCGACACTAGAATGTGCCATAACCCCAGGGCAGGGGCCGCCCCCATGCACCAGGTGCCCGGTACTGGCACTGGCATGTGCTGCAGCCCCCGGGCAAGGGGCCGCCCATGCACCAGGTGCCTGGGACTGGCACCGGCATGTGCTGCGACCCCAGGCAAGGGGCCACCCATGCGCCAGGCATCCGGGGCCAGCACCGGCATGTGCCATGACCCCAGGGCAGGGGCCACCCATGCCCCACATGCCCAGGGCTGGCACTGCGCATGTGCCACATGCCCCGGGGGCGGGGCTGGCCCAGATTATTCAATGGGCGCACAAAAATCGCTCGGCAGGCGCTATGGCGCCCGCGGGCACCACGTTGGGGACCACTGACTTAGACCTATCTTCCTTATCTGGGATACGCTGATAGTGCTAAAAGATATGATAAGCCATTCATTTGCACTGATAGGCACTAGCTCTGAAAAATATCATCTTAGTTAATTTTCTTGTACTGTAATCATCATAACTTGAAAGCTTCCAAATCTCTATAGTTAGATAGATTAAGTTCTGTATCACTGAAACATACTTAGCTTTGATTACAGAAGATATCAGAACCTACTCAACACTTTCCATAGTAGCAAGCTGAGTACAAAGGCGATCAGGCACTTTAAAGGAAATCTGTAAAGTTGTCATCTGCTCATCAGCACTATTAAACACTACGATCAATATTACTCATTTTAGGGAAGAGTGAAAATTCTTTGTCTTACATCTCTGACTATAGGACGGTTGTATTGCACACTTCACTGTAGTTTCTAAATGTTTTCCAGGTGAATTTCGAGAAAGAAGACAGTAATTCGGGTACATCTACACTGCGGTGCTATTTCAGCATACTTCTGGTATCCCAAAATAGCGTATTCCATGTCTTGACAGCGTGCCCTTTATTTTGAAATACTTTTTGAAATAATAGGCATGCTATTCTGACGTCCTGGTAAACCTTGTTCCTCCAGGATTAAGGGACTTGTTGGACTAGCAGTCTATTTCAAAATTTGGTGCTGTGTAAACAAATTTGTAAATAGACTATCTCAAAATAAACGTAAAATAAGCTATGAAATTTGCATAGTTCAAATTGAGGAGCTTATTTCAAGCTAAGGGTGCTGTGTAGACGTACCTTCATAGAATAAAGCTCTTTAGGTAACAAAGTTTCCATTTTTTAATCGTGTATATTATATTAAAGGAAGATGTTTATATATAAAGCTGATTAAAATATTTTCAACTTTATCTAGCCAATTGCGGAATGCAGTATTTAAGCTAGGTGAACCTAGAAGACATTTAAAGCCGCAAAGAAAAGAGAGGAAAAAAGTTCCAGCACAGACTGTCTCTGATGGAGATGTTAAACTTCTTATCAGAGTTCTGAGAGCTTATAATATTCCTTCAAGAAATTCAGCAGTTACTAGGTAGGAAACCATGGAAACAGAAGTTAAGGATGGTAACGGTCTATTAGGGAATTTGGTACATCCTCTCCATTACACAGGAGTGTTCTCTAATTAATCTTTCCTAGAGTTTTGTGGAATTTAGTTTCTACCATTTCCCTTGCAAGAATATTCCCAAATTTTTCTATATCTCACTTTAAAGAAGAAACACGTAACTAACCAGAAGTGCAAATTAGAGGAGTTGGTTAGTTATTTAACTCTAATGATGGCTGTATGATATCTGTAAAGAACAGTATGCTATTGATAATTTTATGAAATGCTAAGTAGTTTTCATTTACTAATGTAAACCAGGATGGATAAAGGAGGAGTCGTGTTAGCCAACAAAAATTTTTCTTTTACAAAATCAGTTGTATCAGGAATGGAGGCGATACAAAAATGGCCATTTTGCTCAGATAGTTGGAAGAACTTGTGCTTCAATATTATGCTTCACAAAGGGCCTGGATCTCTTCTAAAAACTGCATCCAAATTGTTATGTATTTAGTGCTGCTTGTATTGACATAGAATTATTTCATTTAACCAGAATGCAGGGCTACATTGTAGTTAGTAATGCATAAATATAGAGGTTTCCACCCCCCCAGAAATGCAGTTTTTTGCATTCTGATCAGGAACACAGGAATTCATATAGCAGGTCAGGCCATATACTTTGGAGGATGATGTAAAATCACATTAGAATCAGTAATAATTTGTCCAGAAAACTTCTACAAGGTTGAGTCAGAATGCTGTGCCATTTGCACAGCAGTCTACCAAGTTCTGCACCCTGCCCATGTATGGATGTCCAATCCTGCAGAGGAATTTATGTGAGAGTCTCCACCACTGTCTCCATGGTGTGGGGCGAGCCCAAGGGAGGCAGAGGTGCAATGGTCCAGAACCTGGTGTGAGCTGGGACCATTCAGTCCCGGTTCGTGCTGGGCCCTGGATCTACCCCCGCTGCGGCTCTGTATTTTAAATGTAGCAAGAGCTTGATGGCTCTTATTACATTTAAAATGCAGAGGATCAATGGTCCAGGACCCGGGACTGCTCAGTTCCAGCTCACACCTGGTTCAGGACCTAACCCTGTTGCAGGTCTGCAGTTTAAATGTAGTAGGAGATGGGCTGTTCATGTGCCTGTCTTCTACTACATTTAAACTGCAAAGCTGCAGTGGGGATAGCTCCGGCTTGCTTCTTTCCTTATCAACTAAGTGTTTAGTTGATACAAATTGTAGTGACCACATGATCAGTCAATTACCTGCTTCTTAACATCCTTCGTGCAGTGAGGGGGGAGCTTGCCTGATGCTAGAGGTGTCTGTCCCCTAGTGGGGCTCTGCTGAGCAGGGGTTGTGGGACAGGGAGCCTGTCTGTGCTGGTGCCACTGGTTCAGGAGGGAGACTTGGGGCCTGTCCTGTACTGAGTAAATTCATCTTAAAGAGACAGGCACAGGCACACACAGAGTTTCTCTCTCTCTCTCTCTCTGTTTCAAACACACTTTTATTATTGTTTTTGTTATTTCTTCCTATTTCCTGTCAAAATGTGCAATGCATATAATCTCCATACTTTTATTCTTTCAGAATTTATTAAGGATAATAGGACCGTTGTTTTCTTTTTTTGACTGGACTGTGCATTACATAATTTTATTTCTCTCTCATACTTAAATGTAATTCTTTAAGTCATGAATTATATAATAGTGAATATAATAGCTCTAAATGGTGGTGGTGGTGGTGTGTGTGTGTGTGTGTGTGTATTTTCTTTATATAGGAATTAGATACAGTGCGTCTGTCAGCTAATTTCTGAATGATCTGCAAAAACAGAATTTTCAAATGCTTAAGAAGCCCCTGGAATTGAGGTTAAAGTTAGGGATGTGATAGTGTTGACTTGTATCAGAGCTAGCACCATGGGAGACAGGTAGCTCCTCAGGAGCCAGTGCTTGTAAGAAGTTTGCTTAAAAGCAGACTTCCCATGAGCACCAGGTCTCACTTGCACCCCTCCCCCGATAGTGTACATTTTTAAACAGTTAACTGATGAGCCTGGGGGAGGAGAATGGGTGGGAACTGGTGCTCGTGGGAAACCAGCTTTTAAGCAGGCTCCCTACAAGCACCAGCTCCTGGGGAGCTGCCTGTCTTCCATGCTGCTGCCTCTGATACAGAAATGGAACAATGAATTGGCCCACAGTGTTAGATTTTTGTTCATTTTAGTGATTTGTGTTTAGATTTGAATAACTGATTTTATTAGATGTTCTTCATAAGTATTTATAGTATCTGCAAATAGTAAATATTATCCATAGCTTCTGTAAATAATGAACTAATACAAGTAATTGCAGATTAAAAAGAAAAGCTGGTTGAAATGTATATTCATTCCTGTTTTGTATCTGCAGACCAGCAGGTGTTCATTCACCAGCATATACAATTAATCGGCTGTTCCAGAATAGACATGTGCTATCAGGCAAATCATCATTCACATCTGATCTAAGTGAGGTAAATAACTTAAATTACTGAAACAACCCAAAAACCCTACAGAGTGAATCATTTTGTATTGTTTAAAAGGCATGACAAAGGCTTCAGTCTATATTTTGACAATGAGTAAGAGGGCAAAGTTTTACTTTCTTTATTGTAATCACATCTTCTGTATAGATACTTATTTAAATGATCCCTCAACAATATATTGATTTGGAACAAAATTCGCTCTGCCATTTAAAAATTTGTTTCTGTTCTTTAAAAAGATCTCCAACATTTTGTTCTGTCACAGCCAGGTTTTGCTTCACAACCTCTGGTATTTTGAGGGATTTCAATTTAATTATTATAGTTAAATATGTATGTTTATACTAATGTCTCAGAATGCACTTATAACCTTTTTAGCCTGAGAACTGAACATTATTTCAAAAAGGTCAAGGGCCTCATCAAAATTTTTTACAGGTCTCTGTTCTATTCTGCTTAGTCTAAAGGGAGCAAAAACCATCTGCAGCTCCAATGCTGGCGATTACCCCAACATGGGTTAGTCTCCAGCAGCATAGAGAAATCATACATGGCTTTTGTGCCTTCTTTCCTGCAGTCACTGTTTAAGGGACATTTCAGGATTAGGAAAGGGTGCATGTGGGGTTGGGAGGAAGAGTGATAAGAATGCATTGTGGTCTGGCTATTGTTTGGAAAGGCTAGGGGTACTATAACTTCCTAAAACAGACTAATCAATGCTGAGACAAAGGTCTTGTCTAAAATTACCAGGAGATTGGTGCTGCAAGGATTGATCTCCTGGGGGTCGATTTAGAGGGTCTGGTAAAGACCCAATAAATCAACTGCTGATCGTGCTCCTGTGAACTCCAGCACTCCACCAGAATGAGAAGAGTAAGGGGAGTTGATGGGAGATTCTCCTGTTGACCTCCTACAGTGGAGACACCACTGTAACTTTAACTAAAATACAGTATATCAACTTCAGCTAGTCTGCGTTGCATACCTTAGTTTGACATTGCCCCCAATGTCAAACTGGGCTTAGACAGTGCCTGTTGAATTCCTGTCCTGCCCTCCCTGTGTATCCCATAATCCAGTAGGAAAGCAGGCAAATGACATAGACATAATTGTTCTCTTCCTCCTGTGATGAAGCAGGTTGCCATCAAGGGAACTGTTAAGCAATTGCAGTAGGGAAGGGATAGAGCTCTATGTGCCTCCTACTGCCTCTTTATCACCATAGGATCAGTTCAAACTGCAATTTAAAAGTTTTAGGACACAACTCAGAGAACACATTTTCTATTAAGAATGAAACATATTTTTTCTTCACACTAACTTTTCAGGGCTGTAGTTTAGAATTTTTAAAGCCCAAGAAAGTTAAACACCCAAATCCACTGGAATTCAGTATGAATTAGGCTCCTTATCTCCTTAGGCTCCTTTAAAAGTCTCAGCCACAATTTACAGTGTGCATTTTTCCTTTCTACAAACATCAGTATGGGTTTCGTGAACCTTTAGTCTAGGGCCAGAGGTTGGACCCTACTGAAGTCATTCTGCCGCTCTACTCTGCACTAGTTAGGCCTCAGCTGGAGTACTGTGTCCAGTTCTGGGCGCCACATTTCAAGAAAGATGTGGAGAAATTGGAAAGGGTACAGAGAAGAACGACAAGAATGATTAAAGTTCTAGAGAACATGACCTATGAAGCCAGGCTTCATGAACTGGGCTTGTTTAGTTTGGAAAAAAGAAGATTAAGGGGGGACATGATAGCGGTTTTCAAATATCTAAAAGGGAGTCACAAGGAGGAAGGAGAAAATTTGTTCCTCTTGGTTTCTGAGGACAGGACAATGAGTAATGGGCTTAAAGTGCAGCAGGGGAGGTTTAGATTGGACATTAGGAAAAAATTCCTAACTGTCAGGGTGGTCAAATATTGGAATAAATTGCCAAGGGAGGTGGTGGAATCTCCCTCTCTGGAGATATTTAAGAACAGGTTAGATAGACATCTGTCAGGGATGGTGTAGACGGAGCTTGATCCTGCCTTGAGGGCGGGGGGCTGGACTCGATGACCTCTCGAGGTCCCTTCCAGTCCTATTATTCTATGATTCTATGATTCTATGATGTATAATGATGACTCTAAATTTAAATTGATATTAATAAAAACTAATTTTCAGAAATCTTAGAAGACAATGCAAATTAAACTGTATTTGGGAAACTTTGAATCTTGTAGAACATAGGGCTCTGTTAGTATATCATAAGAGATGGAATCATATCTTAATATAAATTCTAGAGATAAGGATCATCTTTCAGGAGGGTATCATTATATTTACTGAGCAACTGTTATCTAAAAATAAATTGTGCTTGACCAGATGTATCATTTATCAGTCAGTAATATACTGAGTAAATATTCTGGTTAACTTCCTTGTGTTATCATGGAACTGGACTTTAATGAATAGTATTTTCTGAGTTGCTATTTGCCTTGCAGGTAACTACAGTCTCCC